ATTAAGGTGATGTGCTTTACTGTGTTTGCATGTATTTACATCCATCTTTAATTGTTCTTTATTGAAAGCACTTTGTGATTTTATATCTATGAAAGTGCTACAAGAATAAATCTGAGTTGACTTGGAGAAACAAGGTTTGCGTTTAATCCTTCAAAAAGCCATCATGCATGAGCAGTCATTAGATAAGATGAAAAAAAGATCACAAAAGAAAAAGAGGAAATGGAAGACAACTTTTGCAACAACAGACTGTGGAGACAACATAATGAACAAAATCCCCATTTCACCACGTGGAATCGATTCCTCGGCTAGAATTTAAACGGAAATTTGTGAGCCACACTTCTGGCTCTTATTGAAATGCACAGTTAGCACTTTTCCTCTCAGCTTTAAAAAGGACAGAGTTGGCCGCTTCAGGCCACTGAGATCATCATCACTGTGTGCTGTTGTTATTTTCAGTCATGAAAGGCAACAATTACAAAACGAGTGATTCAACAGGACATCTAATTACACAATGCCACCGCCATTGTCAGTACAAGTGTCTATAGCTGCTTAACTGTGAAACCTCAATTGTGCACAAAAACAGACAGCTGACAGGTGCAAGTTTTCCAAACAAGTTGCCCCGTGGCTATTTTTGGACTTCAAATATGAAAATAAAACGAGTGCCTTCAGGCATAAAAGATAATAATTAGAACTAAAGGGAACTAGTTCAAATCCGTCACAAGTACGCCCTCCTAAAGGCAGCTGAGGACAACAAAAGCAAGCATACACCACTCCTGATGTAGACACAAATCACAGTTCTGCATTAATCCACTATTGCGCTCAAACACACAGCTCGTGCTGCTTTGGATGGCAGTCAGCACCATGGTAGTTCTACTGCAGTAACAACTGGGTTTAGTCACTTGTTATAACTCTTAAAAGAAATTTATCAGAATCTGCTCCCGTCATCAGAATTTTCTGCTGTTTGTATTTATGTCTGTGAATTTGCAAGTCATTGGCTGGAGGACTCAAGCTTTCTGCTACTGACTGAACAGTGTACCTATGGTAAGACAGTTAATGTATAATGGCATTTAATGCATGAACTGTGGAACTGTAGCACTGAAGTGTTACTCAACACTCTAGTCTTTTAAAATCGTTGCATTAGAAGCCTTACAAAGAAATCTCGCATTGCAGTGAAACATGTTCTGCCCTTGCATCTCAAATGTAAACATAAATACATTGAGGGACTTTGATCAGAAAGCCCAAGACCAAACATGACATGTTGCTCTAATAAGAAAAAGATTAATAGGCCTACTTCTAAGTACAGTGGAGGATCTGTAAAAGGGGTTTGTTATTCTTCCAAAACCCCTGCAAACCTAGTGAGTGTAGACAGTGGAGACTTTTAGAATACCAGGAGGTTTCAGATGATCTGTTGGGCAATCCGAAATAACTAAACATGGAATGTGACTAGATCCATACAGTCTAAGTTTCATAGGAAATGCCCAGAAACAAATAAGCCTTCTTCCACGGCTATCACACTCCCTAGACCTAAACTATGGAGAGTTTGTGGAGCAAGCTGAAGAGAAGAGAGCGTAAGGGACAACCCAAAACTGTGTATGATTTCGAAAGAGAAGGTAGCACAACATGGTGTATTCTATTTGTACATAGAAGTTGTTATTCTGAGTTCTTAGTCAGAAATATAAACAACGCTCCCTCATGAAGTGAAATTCTGACTCAGTTATGGCTTGTCCACATTTAAAACAGAGTTTATAGAATGTATATCTTTTAACAAAATATTTTTTAAAAAGTATGAACTATTTATTACTTCAGTTTGAGTGTGTGTGTGTTTATATTTTTAATTGAAAATAGAAACACAATCTTGTATTTTTCATAGTCACAAACACCACACAGTAAACTCAACTGGTTTTTCAGACTGAAATTCATGCTCTCACCACATTCCTAGATCTGAGCTCCGACTTCATGAAAGAAGTAATTTTGTTCAAATATATCTTTTCTACATTTAATACATACAATTTTCAGTGTGAGATTATGATAATGCAATAAAAGGTGTTTTATTTTTTCCATAGTCTCTTAGCACATTTTATTATTGGGGTCCCACAGTGGTCGGGATCCTGCTTGCATTAGACATAATGCAGTGCAAAAGTGCATAACAACAGAAACACACTGACAAATGCCACTAACTACACAGAGAGAATGTGTAGCTTGGTCCTTATGACGCGTTGATAAGGCTTGTGTTGCTGTGCAATTTATTTAAAAGGTCATAAAAACACAGTTGACAAAATCCTGCCAGGAACACACACTCACTTCATCCATTGTCCAGCTAAGGCATGACATTTAGTCCGTCTTAGATTAATAAATGCAGGAACAATGTTGTATGAAAAACACAGAGCTCCTAAAATACAAACTAGCCGCATTAGGCCTGATGGTTGCACATGGTAAATGTGACTGTATAGTTACCTACTTTCAATTTCAGACATGTTTAAAGTAAAAACAATTCCTCAGCGATGATGCCTGCAACACCATTAGATCTACATTAGATCATTTCATCATAACACCACCACTAAAGGTAATCAGTTTTGTTGGAGCTACGTTTCAGATCAGCCCAAACATGAAATTTGGGGAAATCACCTTGGCTTCTAGGAAAACTATGATGCATATTTACTGGCTTCTTGAGGTCATGATGATTATTCAATTGACTGTGAAATGTGACAAAAACATGGTGGAAGGAGATAAAAGGTGATGTGCTTTTTATTAATACCGTTTCACCGTATTATAGTATAAATAAGTACATAAAATGTACTTTGTCATTTTTTTTTATATAGTTTGCTTTGATACATAAGCCAAATATCAGAATAAACTAGGGATGAATGGTATATCGGCATAAGCATTGGTATCGGCGTGTGGTATTCTTTTGGTCATGTGATAGTAATGTAGCACAGTATAGTGGGATGTTTAAATGAAGCAGATTAGCAATGTCAGAATTGTGGTTTTTAAATGGTGCTAAAAGTGTTGGAAAATACATAATCTAAAATAATGTTGCTTATCAGCAATGCCAGCTGTATTTATATTGGGCTAAATTTTCATAATGGTGCATCCCTACAATAAACACGTTCTAAGATCAGTATTAGTGTAGGCTTATTAATAATGCTAAGTGTGCAGAGTGCCACTCTGTTCTGTGTTTTATAAAATAACACTGGGAGTAAGACTGCACAATATTTCACAACATTGCATTTTTATCAGTGTGTAAGATATTCCAATAGCAATGGACTGTTTGAGCACAATAATTGACAGGTAATACATTATAAACTTTCATTTTACACATTACTTTAATATTTACAGTTTCAGGGTAGCAGATACAGTGGATACAAATTACATACCATCATAATATATTCCAATACTATCGCCATTGTGACATTTTCGGATACTGAGCAACCCTAATTGGGAACCTAATTAGGTAAAACCCACATAGGCAATATCAGCTGTTTAATTTGCAATACTGCCTGCTCAGCCTTCAGTCAGCTACATTATTAAAATGTTATTCATAGCTTGAGCTTCTTTAGTTATTCCCCTTGATTATCTTTTTTCTTCTTCTAAATTTGACTTTTTTGGCTGAATAACATAGTATTTAAAATAATTTAAATTATGAAATTTTGTGTGATTTTACATGTCAAATTTCAGTCTCCTAGTCTATATTTTTCATGTAAACATGCAATTCACTGACTGAAAGTTTGATCCCAAGCATCTGGATCATGTATGTTAAAGTTTAAATATATCTACAAACTAAATTGTACCAAAGGAAATAGGAAGTCATTTATACACATCTACTAATATGTGTATTAAATTTACATAAATATACCTATTGATTAGAGTTGCACAATATATCAGATCACTGTCATCATTACAGTATTATGTGTGCATTATCTCAAATCACACAAAACTGTTTAGGTGCAATATTTAGTCGGCTACTGTATCTCAAGTACCATGTATTTACTTTCGATGACAGTAATATATTTGGCCAGATGAATGGACTCTACATACACATTTTAGCAGTCGAGTTGTGTATGGGAAACGGTTGGACAGTTGTGATAATAAAAAGAAAAATATGGGTGAATCACAGTGTACTTCATTACTGCAACACATGATTCCCCTTTGTCAGAAAGGTAGCTATTGCAGTTTGTAAAAGTATCAAATCTCAACATCTCAAAAGATAATTCAAGAAAATTATCTTTTCTTGAATTAAAGAAAAGATATTTTGGGCAATCTATGTAACCAATGTAAAGAGTCTCTTGCTTTGGGTTGTGATATTAGATTAGTTCCCAAACTATCCCCCCTATATTTCATCACTTAAGTGTAAATATGGTTAAAACAACAGCAAAGAATAAAATATGAAGTGATTTATGGTTCAGAGGATGCTTAGTCCTTGTATGTGTTTTATGATTCCATTTGTCATCTATAATTATCATAGAAACATGCTTTTTTCCTGTCTCCAAAACATCCATCTGATTAAGCTGAAACAGCCTTTCATGAAAAATATTTTGAAAATCTTTCAAATAATATAATAACGGTACAAACAAAAAGCCACCGTGCTTACCAATAGAGCATCTTCTTCATTTTCAATCTCAGTCAATGAACATAACTATGCTGAAACAAGACAGATTTAATGTATAACCAGGATTTGTTGCACTCAAATGTTTGCCTTTTATGTCAAGTTAAGCTTTTCAGTGTGGAGCCACCCAACTTGGTTAATCTATCTGTGAAAATTCAGCGAACACTAACATCTCGTTTTAGAGTCGAAATTAATGTTAACCCCTTTTCGGACTGTATATTGGACCAAGCTGGCTATGCGACAAAGCAGAAAGGTTGGCTTTCTCTGTTTTTGCCTCGGTTACCTTTTAGCTGTTAGCCTATGTGGGTTTTACCGTTAAACAGAGGGGGAGCAGGAGAGGAGTGCGGCTGCAGCAGAAGGCAGCCTGGCACATTCCCTGTTCAGTCATGCCACGTCTTACCTGACTGCTGATGGCCACCTCTTCTTATCTCCTTTTAAATATATTGTATTGATGCAGGCGTCTCGAAAAAGATGCTCGCAACGGATGTCCACAGTCCTCGCAAGCCAGCGGTCAAATATTTTCTTTCCCAATCCGAGAAGCTAGCCTAGCTGACTAGACGCAGCGCCCCGTTGGAAGAGCATTTCTGCATCAGACCGTGTCAGAGCTCAGCGGCTAGGCTAGCTAACTAGCTGAAACCGCTACACAGCAGTTGGGAACCCACTCACCTCCCTGCTGCTCCTCTGTGATTGGCTGCGAGAGGACAGACTGGGTTCTGAATGGACGAGCTCGCTGCCAATCAATGCTACTGCAGCTGTTAATGTTCTACATTCCCATAGAACGTCCTCCTGAATTTTGCCTTCCAAGGATAAAACAACCATACCAGCATAAGATCATCCTCTATCATCTTCATAAGGACTGAAAATTATTTTTTTATGTAGTATTATCTGCCTAATTATTTTTCTCTATTTTATTTACTGCTTAAATAAAATAAGCTTTAAATGTTTAAAAAACATTGAATCACGACAATGACAATATTTTACAAAGGGCTAAAGAGGATTTATCACCAAATGAACACAGAAATTATTCACCAGAGCAAAACCAAAATTCTTCAGTGTTCATGTAAGTTCTCAAAGCTACATCCTATATAAAACATTTGGAGAAAACTGAAGAGAAGATGAAATAAGAAAAGACAAAGACTCTTGATCAGAGACACAACAAAAAGTCTTTAGCGAGGCATGCATGATTTTCTTCCAAGGTTTGTTCAGCAATTTGGAAATTGTTGGCCGCAAACATGTAAGACTCTTAACGTGTTGCAGATCAACAATCATTTACAGAATCTTTTTTTTTCTTTTTCTTCTTTTTTTTTTTTTTTTGAGTTGTGGCCAACGAGTACTTCCAACTTCACAATGCTTGGCGCGCCTTTGCAGAAAGTTTGGACACAACTGTTCTAGTTGGATTGTGAGAAGAAGAACTGTCAGAAAATAATTTCTCTGTATGCTCCAAACTTGTTAAATGTCATAGCAAAAGTGTAAATACTGCTGCTCTGCCAAGAATGCTGTACAGAGAAAGCAGAACTATCAACAATTATGCCACCAGCAATTTTGCAAAACAAATTCATTTCTTAATAATGTTTTTGTTTTTGCTTTTACAGATCTTAACCACAGGTGCCAGTAATTGCGCAGAGTGATGTATTTCAAGGTATCCACGTTTCATAAAAATGCTCAGTCATCTGTATTGCTCACTACAAGTTCCCATAATAATTCAAATATGCATACAGATCATCAAATTCCGTTCAGCCATAATGCATCTTATAAATGTGTCTGTGGTTAAGAGAGCTGCAGAGTAATTTGGAAGGTTCTGCAGCTCGCTGCAGGATGCAATCTGTTTCCTGCTCTAACAGATGGGTCTCCTCTACGTGTCTTCTTCGTTCTGCACCCCAAAGCCAATCTCAAAACTACTCAATGTGAATTGTAAGCAGGATTCTCAGTTTTGTTGAGCTTAATAAGCTTAATAAGCTGTGGGTCAATTTATTGCAAAAAAGCAAGTAAATAAGAGCTGGTAAATCTCGTTTGTTTAATTGTAAACAAACAAGATTTACATATCTTTTTATCTTATTTACAATGACAGTGACTCTTTGCAGATGTGTCCAACATTAAACTGAGTCTCACTTATAACAGCCACCCTTGTCATACAGAGTGCATACATCACAACATGACTGCTTCTGCTGAATGAATAAAAAGAGGAAGTGTGATGTGTAATTTGTACAACTGTTGTGATCAAAATGCTATCTCTTCCTGACATAAAGGAAATGGAAGTAACACTAACAAGCTTTATCCTTCGGTATGAGAACAATTTCCAAAAGCTGAGACAATATTTGTTGGGTACACAAAAACTTAAGCCATTTATAGAGGATTGTGTAGAATTGGATGATCAAAAATGATAAATAAAAATCCTAAGAATATGAAATTGAGTTATAAAACATATCATGCATGTAAGACTGTCAAGCCAAGTAAATACACAGGCTAGCCTGGGTGGCACCACTGATTTCAGCTTTCTTCTTTCACTCTTGGTTGTCAGAAACATTAAGTAGGTCATGAATGCCACCTGCTGGGCTGTTGGTGAAGCACGTCAGTTCTGAATCAGCAATGTGTCCTCATTCATGGCAAGCACTTTTTTCATCACCATTGTGTCTCTATTTCTCTATTTGGTTCCTCGGCAGTTCCTTTTGACCCTCAAGGCAGCATCTTAGAGACTGTTTATTTTGCTCGGTTTCCTGAAAAGACTAAAAAAAAAAAAAAAAAAAAAAAAAGAGGAGAAGTACTCTGTGAGCTGCTGACTTAACTGATACAGAAAAAGAAACAGCAGATGGACCGGCATTGTTTAAGGGGGACTTTAATTCAATTCAGTGTACTTGCCTCTGGGCATTAGTTTGACATACATCTGAGAGTAAACAGAAGCCACAGTCAGAGAGAAAATCACGTTTGTCAAATATAAACTAGCTAATGGGTTCGGAGATGTAGCTTGAACAGAATAAATTGCTCAAGTCATTTATTCTACTTTGGGTTTTTGCCTTATTGAATCTAATGCAATTCTGAAAAATATTTATGTAAACCAAATGTACATTGTTTCTTGGTTGTTTTAAAAAGTGTTGAATTTGGATTGTATGAAAGTATACAAAAAAATTGTGTATTCACATTTTGAAGTAAAACATAATTATTTTTGCTGCTTTTTAGGCCCCTGCAGCCCATGATTTGAAATTCACTTTTTCATTTTCACAGGCACAATTGAGTTGTCACTGTATTTTAAGGAATCTGTAGTAAATGCATATTTAGAGTTTAGATAGAGCTACCTAAATTAGTCCATATGCCAAAACAAAACAGAGAAATAGCTCTTTAATAACCTGGTGAATTGCAAACTATCTTCAGCTTGGTGTTACTTTGGGATTTGTAGAATAAGATTATTTTGCACTTTTGTTCCGAATGTTATGTAAATATAAAAAAAAAATTATAGAGAATTTAGTGTCAGAGCATATGGATTTTTGAAATGGAAAGTTTGTAAGAACCATCTATTCTTTTGTTAGTTAGGACATTATAGACATGGGATTCTCACAAAAACGCTTAGCAAAATGACCACAGTTTTAAATTATCTCTCTTTACTCAAAAACCAAAAACAGAAAATAGATGACATGTTTTTAGCACACATTGTTCTTGCTTGTTAACTTTACTTTCAAAACAAATTTAGCTCAATAATAGGAGCGATAGTCGTGATTGAGAATATTTTTGAAACAGCTAAATATGTCTTTATGGGGAATGAGGGATAAGCTCTAGCCCTTTGACAGACAGCTGACCAGCAGTGCACAGCAACACTTTGGGTGTGGTGGGCAGTAGTGCTCCGTTCAGCTCACTTTGACACTTCCTTTGGCTTCTCAGTTAGTTTAAAACTTAGAAAAGCTGTGATTGTGAATTGTAGTTGTTTTGAAACCAACTATTTAGACCAGGGGTCACCAACTCCAGTCCTCAAGGGCTACCATCCTGCAACTTTTAGATTCACCTCTGCTCCAATATGTCTGAATTCCCTCACCAGCATTCATTCCTCTCTGCAATAGGCTGGAAACGAGCAGTTTATTTGATCAAGGTGTGTTTAAGCAGAGACGCATCTAAAAGTTACAGGATGGTAGCCCTCGAGTTGGTGACCCCTGGTTTAGACCATGGTACTTTTACACCTGTAAACGTCCTATGCATAAATCATTGTGTTTTAGTTTCTAACAACAAATCAGGTCTTTCAGTGAAGCATTTTCTTTTTGTCTTTTTTTATTCCTTGTTACAATATGAATGGTTCCAGGGCTGACATTTACACAGTTTTGGCAGTGTGACGACAGAAGATTATATCAACACCTTGTGGCGTCGTAATTCACTCGTGCCTCTTTTTGCTGACATTTTAGTCTGTGGCACAATTTGACATTAAAGCATCACTATACGAAAGGGGAAATGGTCACAATATTACAATTGTCTTTTATTTCACACGTAAATATTAAGACTTTAGTTACACAAACTGGCACTCTGTTCACAGCACAACAATACAAAAATCATCAGATGAAGATTCAGACATTCTTTTGATTGCACAACCAAGCGACACTGTAAACGGATAGACTGACAGATTCATTTGATAGGCGAGTCTAGGATTTCTTGGTAATCCTGTCGAATGGCCCTGCTCACTCTGTACAGCTTGACTCCGGTCAAAGTGAACACGCTGACCATGATGACAAGGCCTCCGATCACATCGTACACTGAGGGGATCATCCTCAGCACGATCAGCTGCAAAATCATTGAAACCACGATCTCTAGGTGCTGCACGGTGCTAACTAAGGCTGGATGGAACTTGTTTAGAGCATAGTAGACTCCAAGGAACGCTACCGTGGAGCAGATGCAGATCCCAATTAAATAGCCCCAGGTCTCCCCATCCAGGGGAATAATAGGCTCCTGCATTATGAACATGGTGGAGGCACCCCAGACAGTGCCTGTCCAGCCGAAGGTAAAGAGTGCTGTCCACATGCTGACGCGCTCCTTGATGGCTCGGTAGACAATCATGGAGAGGGCGGCGGTCAAGCCTGCCATAACTGTCATTGTATAGCCAAATGCCTCCTTCCAAAACCCCAGCCTGGACTTCTCCTCATCTGCTACATTCGGCACCATGACCAGACACAGGCCGAACACACTTCCCACCACCGTAACCACGTCGGTGTAGCTCAGCCTCTCATCCAGCAGCAGGAAAGCCAGTATGGCACTGAAGACAGTGGTGGATGCTCGCCACATGATGGTACCATTGCTGGGGGGTACAATGGCAAAGGACGTGTAGGCGCAAGTGATAGAAATGACGTTGCACACACCATAGAAGAAGAGACGGAGCCGGTAACCCTTGGGGCCGAAGGGTGCCTCGTGGTAGTAGAGGACCACCAGGATTGACAACACTTGGATCACAGAGCGGATGAAGAGCAGCTCGAGAGAGGGAACCTTAGAGCGATCTGCCGCCAATCGGGTGATTAGCGCCACACATCCATGAGCTGCTGCTGCCCCAAACAAGGCCATCCAGGTCACTCTGGAGGCCAACACATTAGCTTCGCCAAAGCTGGCCAGCTGACCCTCGACCCCTTTGTCTCTTTGCACACTTGGCTGCTTAGGCTGAGTCTCCATGGTTCCAAAGAAAGTCCTGCTGCCTTTGGCATCAGACACCAGTCTCTTTCCAATGTTTGCCTCTGCAAAAGAACCGAAATCCTCAAAGGAGGGTGCATCGTCGTACCCTTCGTCACCAGGCTGGGGGAAGTGAGTGGCATATTTTACTGTGACTGTGTTTGGGTGAATTTTGACCCGCTTCTTTGATCCAAACTGCAGGGAGGCTGAAGCTGCATCCATGATGTATGAGGTATTTAAATAGTGTTATCTGGAAAACAGTGAAGTAAAAATCATTATTTAAATTCCACAGACACATTTAGACTCTTGCATAAATATTCACATATTCTTTTTCCACATTTTCTCAAATTATAACCGTTAACTTCAGGATTATATTGTGTCAACACTTTGTGGAGCCAACTTTCACTCTAATCACAGCAGGAGGTCTTTGGGGGTATATGTCTACCAGATTTGCACAAAGTTGTGTCCATTCTTCTTTGAATATTGAGTCAGATTGGGTAGAGCACATGCAAACATATATTTTGAACTCTTGTCAAAGATTCTCATCTGTGATTAGATCCACACTTTCACTGGAGTGGTCTAACCCATGAACATGCTTTGCCATTCCATTGTGAATCTGGCTTTAAGTTTGGGGTTGCTGTCCTCCTGCAAGGTGAACCTTCACCCCTGTCCTGAGTGTTTTCTAGTCTTCATTCTAGGATGGCCCTGTATTTACCTCCATTCATCTTCTTATTAACTCTGACCCCCTTTAAAGTCCATACGTAACATGGACATTCTTTTAGCAAAAACGGTGCCATTATCATATTTTGTTGTAGCCGTGGTGCATTCAGAGGAATGAGCAATGTTAGTTTTCAGAAAAACACAGTATTTCATCTTGGTCAGTACAACCAGATCACATTTTTTCACATTTGCTGTGTCCCCTTACATAGCTTCAGGAAAACTACAAATAGGGCTTTTCTTTTTGCCACTCTTCCATAAAGGACAAATTGGTGGAGTGAGCATTTAATAGTTACCCTGTCAACAGACTTATCAGTTCCCTTCCCAGATGAGTCATCACCTGCTTTGTGTTTCTTTTTCTTTTCTTTTTTCTTTTTTTTAACTATTGTTAGAATGTAGAAAGTTATCTACATAACTTTCTATCTGAACGGTGGATTTCTGCTACTCCTCCACAGTTACAATTTAGGCTTGTGATTCTGCTATACTCTTAATTTTTTTTATATGATGAATTGAATTGTGTTTCAAGAGATGTTTAAAGCTTTCATCTTTCCCACACTTTCGTCTCTGATCTGTCTGCTGTAATCTTTGGTCTTGATCCTTTTTTGCTCACAACTGCTCTTTCTAAGGTCTTATGAGAACACAATTTATAACAAGGCTACCTCATCCACACTTGAACTCACCAGGTTATAAATCACTAACCTGGTGATTTATATTGGCAAATGTTTACACTGAATTTCTATGTGGTAGCAGAGCAAATAGGGATGAATGCAGACTCAAGTCACATTTTTCCCATTTTTGATTTTGTTTTCATTGAGAATCATGTATCATTTTCCTTCCAAGTCACATCTATGCACTGCTTTGTGTTGGTCTATCACATTAAATCTCAATAAGATAGACATTTGTGCTCATAGAAGCCAAACAGCAAACACTCTGAGGCTGATGCAGTCTGATGGGAAAGAGATTACATAACAAGGAATCCACAGAGGGGGCTGATGCATAAATGTGGGCCATGTATGAGATGAATGGAGAGGCACACCATAATTAAGCTACATCTGAATACGCTGTGTAGAATGGATACAGGAATAGTCGTCTGGAAAATTAGTTTGATTCTTTACTCATCACATTTTGCATCCTGGGGTCAGATGAGTCAGTGATTTATATCTTAAATAACATTTATTTAACATATATTCATATTTTTATTTCCCCGCCCATATTTTGCAGTCAGTCCAGCACTAATTTTAGAATCACATTAAATAAAAACAGCATGAGTCCAAACCACAAGGGGGCAGAAAGATACTTCTGACTGTTTGGTCCTCTTTCATTAAGATTAAAATTAAAATACAAATTGATGAAAAACGGAAGTTGGAGAAATGACAAGATAAAAAGGCGTCTAAATTAAGGCACATATACGAAACGCTGCAATTAGTGTTTTTTTTTTAATTGCCCGTGAATTTAAAGCAGCCAAAATCGTTTCTCCTCACGAATTGCAGGATAAAAATACTAATTAACGAGCACCATATTAATAATGATATCATTTTAAGGGATCGCTAATCCATATCTTTTCTGACAGTCGTTTGCATCAAACTCCCCCCTCGTCCTCCCCCCCCCCCCTTTTTTTTGAGTAAGAACATGTTATTTTTTAAAAACATCTTACCTGGTGTTCTTGAATGAATTCCTAATGATGCTGGATGAAGCAGAGGTCTGTGTCATAAAAGCAGATTTGGTCGGAATTCCTCATCCTTGCACTTGCCCATCTGCAGCTCCCATTCCCCCATGTTCCCTCCCCCTGAAGCGGAGCTTCTCTTCAAGACTACTTGTTTTTTTCTTCTTCCTCTACAAACTGTTTAACCAACTCTGCCTTTGCTTCTGCCGCCGATGAATCTGAAGCTGCTGTTGCTGGTGAGGCGGGTGATGATGATGATGATGATGATGATGGAGGGGGGAGGAAGCAACGGTCGCTGTCACAGCCAGCGGTTTCTTCTTTTCAGTCTAAATCCCACCCTTCCGCCCCCCCAGCTACATTTGCTCTCATTCGTCCTTCTCCAATAGTAGCAAAATAGGAAGAGGATGTACGTTGGCCGGCCGCCATCATCATCATAATAATAATATAGCCCGAAAAAAAATGCACATTCATTTGCTTCCTTTTTTAAGATGTTTGTTTCAAAAAAAAAAAAGAAAAAAAAGAAAAGAAAAGGGTGTTCTTGTTACATTTCTGATATGAGTGCAGATCTACTTCCTCTTTAAAACCATTTGTTGTAGGTGAATTTGGATATTCCATTTATGAAGTTATAATCAGATTATTAATCCTCCTGAGAACCCTAACTTGCTGTTCTGTTTTTGTGTGCAACACTCTTTTTTTTTTTTGCTCCAGTCACTTCACCAAAAATAAAAAATAAAAAGTTGATAATGAATACTTACTGTTTGAAATTCTTGAACTTTTTTTTCTACTCTGTCATGTGACAACCACAAACTTTAATGTATCTATTTGAGATTTTATATATTGAGCTATCAGAAAGTAATTACTTGTGAGGTGGAATTAAAATGAAACATAGTTTAAACTTTTTTTTTTTTTATGTGTGGCTTGAAAAGTGTGGCTTGCATTTTCTGCCCTATTTAACCAAATACCCCTAAACAAATCACATTTACTTAGGGGTAAATCTGTGGCCTCATCTGAAATCAAATTAACGTTTGTGTAAAACTCTAGGCAGCATCTGGAGGAAAACTAGCTCTGCACACCACCCTGAACATGATGACTGATGACTTCCTCACGACTGAAACATGGTGGTGGCAGCATCATGCTGGGATGGGTATTTTCTCTGCAGGCATCAGGGATGCTGGTTAGAGTTTAGATACATATATCTAAGAGCTGAATATGAAAGAACTACATGTTTAATCCCAGAGTTGTGTTTGTATCTAAACTCATTTGAATTTCAGGAGTCCTGAAATTTGCTTCAGGATGGCCCTCATGGGAAGTTAGCTGGTTTGACTTCCCATGAGGGAAGTACCTAACACAACCATTCTGCTTTGGACTAAACAGATACTTTTAAAAAAAAAAAAAAAAAAGGTAAACGCTTGCAGCAATTAAAACAGCAGGACCACAATAAAATAATGTGATAATGTCGTCTCCTCATACAGCAGGTTTATAGAACTTAAATTAGGTTGTGAAGTTTACCCCCCAGGCAATGCACCAAGATTCCCAGCTGGTAATGTAAGACAGTAACGCCACTGGCTCTGAAACATGACAGCGACTTTAATTATCATGGAGGACCACAGAAGGTGATTTGCAACGCTGGAGCAATTAACTCTGTGTCAACATCTGCATAAAGCTCCATGCAATCACAATAAATCTGCCAGTAGGGAATGAGCGTGTAATGTAATTGCTTATTAATGAAGGAAATTGTGGTTGGAAAACACGCGTAATTGTTTTCTGCACATGACAGGTAGCACAGTTACAAACTGCGAAACAGAAACAGTTGAGTGAACCCTTAGAATAATATTTTAAGGTGACATTGTTCATTTAATTTTTTTCTTTCTTTTTTCTTTTGGTTTGTTGTAAAACTGATAGTACACATCACCGACACTGCCAGAGCTTCAAGTTAATAATCCATGTATTATGATTTGGAATGAAAATTTAATTTTATACTCTTCAATTCCTCAATGAAAGCAGCACCGTTTACGTGGGAGGCACTTGCCTTCAGAGGGTAAATGAGAAACCTCCACTTCTATGCTGGATAGTTGGTGTGAGTTTATGCTGATATGCTGTATGGTGTGCATATTGGCCAGACATTTCCATTTTTTATCTAACCTGTCCTAAGAACCTTATTCTATAAATCTTGGTTCATCCAGGCAAACATTAAAAACCCCATGTTTCCCTGTCATTTAACATCCTGTACTTTCTTTTTGACATGACAGCAAATCCTGTTGATAAAATGTTTTCATTCCCACTGTAGATTCCTCTGAACTGAATTAGTGGATCCTCATCCCGATGAAGGGAATACAAATTCATATATTTCTTACAAATAGCCGTCCGTCTGGATATTAATATGTATAAAGCCATAACAGCACAAGCAATTACCCATTCTAGGGCTGTTTGAGTACTTAGTGTTTGAGAAATTTAGAAGAAAAAAAAAAGCATGAAAATGTCCACTGTAAACTCTGCATGGCCTCACAGCTCATTGAACTAATATGAGAACTGGGAAGCAATCATGCCCTGTCTTCTCATTTTATCATCCAGGGATTAGTTCAGACTATTGAGGAGGTGCTCAGCGGTCTAAAATACTGGAGGTATTTTCCAATCTCACAAAACACCCAAATGATTCTGTTGTTTCTAAAAAAAAAAAAAATATCTGGTGATGTAAGAGTAAGGCTAGATTTATTTATTTATTTTAAGTGCACGTTTAGGTTTACATCTTCTATGTTTGATGGTTCAATCAGACATTGCATAAGGAGAGACAGCTTTAAGCCGAGGTGTTAGTTAAGTTGTACAGTAAATACTAGAAAGCATCATTTCTGATGTTTGATCTATTACACTTGTGTGAGGTGCAATAATTTGAATAAATTTAGATGTTGCACAGGCTGGTTAGATATGATCTGACGAATCAGAACTATTTTTTGAGAATGAAGCCCAAAATAATATTGACCTGCACTAGACTATAGTTAAACTCATGAAAACATAGTGCTTCATGGTGGTGGTGTACATGTAGTTTGAGTGGACTGTGGACTGCATTGTGCTGTGGACTTCTCAGCTAAACACAATGCCAGATCAGATGTAGCTTCTAGAAATCAAAAACTGAGAGAAAACACAAAGTTGAAGCTGACAAACAGGCAACAAATGCAACATTGTACTGTACCAGCATTGCAGTGTTGCAATGTTGTACTAGCATTGTCTTCCACAGATCTCTGTCCAGCAGAGCACCTTTGGCAACATAAAGTCCCCTTCATTGCATGCGGTCAACAAATTTGCAGGAACTGTGTGATGCTATCGTGGGAATATGGACTAAAAAAAATGTCCAAAAACTTGATGAATTTACATTGAAAAGGATTAAGGCAATTCTCAGGGCAAGCAACTATGTGAGAAGTACCTACAGCAGATGTACGGATGGACGGATGTTTTTCAGTGTTGTATTACTCTGTCTATTTCAGTTGAGCTATTTTGCTCCTATTTTTGTGTAGCACACCCCTCTCCTGAGGTTTGCATGATAAACAAGTATGCAAATGCCACTTTGGCATTTTGCAGTCGCACAAATGCTCTTTTCCAGAAAAAGTTGCCTCTACATCTGCTTTGGCTATGAGCTTTTGGAGCAATTAGCACAAACAACACTTCACAGACTGAAAGAGATAAATATAGCAGTGTGACTGTTTTTATGATCCCTGTGATTTAACATCGAAGCAAACAGTGAGACCTTGTCCAGGGCTGAAATTCGAGGCATTTCTGTTCATGCACCCTGGAGCTTATTTCTTTGCTTCCAAATGCTCATGCTAAGAGGACCAGCTTCAGTCACAGTAAACACAGAGGGTAATTCCTTACCTGCAGCAGCAAATGGAATTGTAGATTACTCCTGCAGGCTATTTGGGAAAATGTGAGAGCCTCATAGCGCATTTGTATTGATTACATGTGGGTTTTTATTTGCTTGTCAGTATGCTCCCTCCTAAATGTTACAGATGTGGTACTTATTCATCACCCATTGTAAGCCTCAGCCATCATCAGGTAGTTATACAGTATTTCTGTTGTAACAGCGCAGGAGGAGAAACTCCAATCCCTTTTTGTACTCTGACAGGCTGAGCTAGAAAATTCATAAGGTGAAAGAAGACTCGTCACTGACATGAAGCGAACAAAGAATACTTTTTTCAGCTTTTGGAAGACAGTGAAACAGAGTTGCTTGTGGGTGGTAAATGAACGCATGTGGTTCCTGTTTTGTTAAAGCATGCGGGCGTGGAAACCTGCCAACTTATATATGTTTTTTTTTTTTTTTTTTTTTTTTTTTTTAACAAGATAACAACCGTTGTCCATTGTGTAGCACAAAAGATTTGCCAAATCACATGATCTAAAGTTAAAATAGTACAGCTTTAGTTTACTACATAATGTTGCTTTCCAGTAAAATGGGTCACCGTTTCCTCTGTCTGAATGTACACCAGGCTAAGGTTCCACCAGCTGTCTATGTCAAAGCCAGACTTTCTTCTGCTTGAAGGTACTGACAGATATCGCTCCGAGAATAGCTCATCCCCGGGAGCTAGTTTTTGGCACTTTTGTTTTTCGTGTACATACTGTGCCCCCCCCAAAAAAAAAAAAATCATACACTGCCTCGTACTTACTTATATGAATACCAAATAGGCCAGGGCAGAGATGTGTTCTAAATGGAGCATTTTAAATTATGAATGAGCTAGGGAAGTTTGAGGCACTCTAGATTTGATGCTCTCTTTCACCCTGTCTAAGAATAAAACAAATGAAAACGGTGTCTTCTGTCTGTCTAAGATGTGGCATACTGAATGATACTAAAGCTTGGGATTTTTAAAAATCTTTTTACCTTATTAGTGGTGTCAGGAGATTTCAATGCAGCATTTCAAGCCACGTCAGAACAAATGTAATGTGCACCCTGCTAGCCCAGGGAATAGAAATCCCTTCTTTCTATCAGGGCTGTCATAATCCTTCATGACACGGACTCAACAAAGTGTCAGAAACATTCCTAGTCCATATTGACATGATGGCTTTACAAAGTTGCAGGTTTGTCAGTTGCACATCCATGGTGAGAATCTCTTGTTCCCACACTCTTAGTGGCGCTTTGATGGATTGAGGTCGCTGACTATGAATGTTGTTGGAGAAGAGTGAGTTCTCTGTCAAGATCAAGAAACTACTTTAAGCAGCAGTTATCAAACCACTGTTAAAAAAAGGAGCAATTTGGGTAAGCTGGAATTGCAAAATTACAGCTTTGGCCAGTGCAAAGCTGGTAGACACGCACCCTAAAAGACTTGCATATTATTCTTCTCTGATATGTATTTGGAGAAAAAAAAGAAGCTAAAAATGTATCTTTTTTCCCTTCCAGTTCTATTTATTTACTCCATTGTGTTGGTCTGTCACATAAATTCACAATACAACTCTTTAGAGGCTGAACAATTTCAAGAAGCTTGAAGACGCCGCACATCCCCAGCAACATGAATCAATGTACACACTCTGACATGACAGCGGATGATAAATGCATAATTTGTGGATCGACTCAGCTACGTTTCGTCTCTTATTTACTTTGAGAGACAAGAGCTGAAACGTTGAACCTTTTCTCCGAGGACCGAAATGACAGCTGCGCCATTAGCTGCTGTGTGTGGGCTGGACAAACCGGAAGCTGTAAAAATATCATAAGAGAGCACTTAAGTGGATGAGACATTTTCGAATTTCATCACGGATGGACGTTCGTCTGTCCAGTCAGGCGCATGGAGTGAGTAATCATCGCAGCATCTGAGCCCAAACGAGAGGTTGTTCGTGTGTTATACAGCGGGGGACAACAGACGCGACAATAAAGCTGTGGTGCAGTGGACCCAGTAAACAGCTTGTGTAGGAGTAAAATTTAGGCATCGAAGATAATAATGGAGCTCCTTTAAATCTGATTAAGCCTTTCTATAATAGAAACTGTAATGAAGTTTCCTCTCAGTCTTGGCAGTCGTTTAATGGAAAGTAATAAGTAACTCAAAATTAGATGAGACACGGCTGTGAGGAAGAGGTCGGAGTCGTTCACTCTTTCAGCACATGATAGAGGGCAAAATAAAAAAAAGAGGTAAAAGTGGTCATTTTGAGAACTTAGTCTAATATATATCTAAAGATGGTACACAGCAAATTTGGAAGTGTTCCATCAACTCCTACAGAGTTAAATTCAACATTTTGAAAGTGTCTATATTGGTCCACTCTGGATGGTGTAGAAATTACACTTTTGAGCACGGTGCATGTGTCAAACATGGTGTAATGCATGTTTGGCACAAGTGCATTACGCCATAGAACTGCCAATTGGTAATTGAAGTAAAGTAGCTTCGATTTCAAAGAAGCCTACATTGAAGTCAATTGACAAATGAACCATCACGAAAGAGGAAGGCTCTTGTTGTCTCACTGCACCCCAAGAGATGCATAACCTACAAAAACCATTTCTGTCTGGTTTCGAACCAGAGACCTTTTGCATGTCAAGCAAACGTGATAACCACTACACTACAGGAACTGAACTTCTCTGCTTTGTTTCAGTTTGAGGTTCCAAAGTTGATGATGTGAGATGCAACGCATGAAATTTTCAACTGAGCCTTGCACTCAGATGCCTGGATTCTGACACCACAGAACCCTTGTTGACCTTTAGTAAACACCTGTTATCAATATAACATGCAAAATCTGTTTCTGTCTGGTTTTGAACCAGAGACCTTTTGTGTGTAAAGCAAACATGATAACCACTACACTACAGGAACTGAACTTCTCTGTTTTGTTTCAGTTTGAGGTTCCAAAGTTGATGATGTGAGATGCAACGCATGAAAATTTAAACTGAGGTTTGCACTCAGATGCCTGGATTCAGAGTACAAACCATGACACCACAGAGCCCTGTTGGCCTTTAGTAAACACCTGTGATGAAGAGAACATGCAAAATCT